TTGGACTTATTTTGTTTTTCGCCCCCAAATTGATTTATGTCTTTAGTATTTGTTTATTCAGAATTGATTTGAAGTATGAACTGGGCATTAATGACGTATGAAGCGCATTTGTGGAATTTTCAACTCTTCCTGCGCTGAGTGGTGGTGAATATGTGCTGTCAACCAGACTAATTTTGAGTAAAAAATTTCAAAACAACTTCAGGGAGACTCTCCCCTGATATTGGGCAAAAATGAGGCAATTTTTGTATTTTCTTTTGTGGGAGAATGAAAAGACGTAAGAACTTCCGCTTTTGACTATTTAATTTCTTCATTTTTTGAGGGTTTTACAGGGCAAAAAATAGTGGAAATTCACAATGACGGCTACAAAATGGCGCTTTCTGCCAGCCTCTGCGCCAAAAACATGGCCCAAGAACTTCAAGCCTACAGCTTCTTGTAGTAGACTAAAATCAAAAATCGTTGGCATTACTTGAACATCATGAAATTTCCACCGTCCTGAACCTCAATTGAAACAATTACAACGATAAATTTATTGCATAATGCTCATTGCAATTAAAAAGTTAAATTTTTGCTACATTTTTTACTTCAGTTACGTTAAAAAAAATAAATAATTAATTATTAATGCTAATCTTAGGGTAAAGACGTACAAAAAACTATTTATTTTGAAACAGTTTTAGATAAAAGGAATCGGACGGATGGATAGATCAAGTTCGGGGCTTGAAGTAAGATCGGAAATCATGGTTTCGAGGAAAACGCGTTCAAAGTTTTTTGAAAGTTCGCAGCGTACGTGAGACAGGTGTGCTTGAGAAGGAGCGATTTGAAAAATATTTACCGTATTGCAAAATTACTTCAAGCACATATTTTACAAATATATAACTTTCATCTTTCGCGTAAAAAAAATCGATTTTTTGATTTGAAATCAGGGGAGGGTTCCCTTAATGCTCATTTGGATTCTAGAAACACTCGATAACTTTAGTAGGGTACAGGTCTACCTCTTACCCCATTTCCAGCAGTGGATACTGCATCGAATACTTACAAAGTATTTTCGTCCACCCAGACGTCATATAACTCAGCATTAAATCATTTGCGGTATTTGCCGTCGCTCATACGCAGCGAACCATAAATCTTCCAGTAAAATTTTTCTATCGAAGACTCACAACGGCGATTCATCCGCTGTTGCCAACGTCTACCTTTCTGCGTGATAAATTAAGACGCGAATTGGAGGCGACTTGTAGAGTTTGGACTACGTTCGTCGAGAGAGGACTTAACCATTCAATTTTCTAACCAAACGGAAGCAGAATATTTTGATTGGAGTGATTCTGGGTTAGATTTTCAAGCTCACCTTTTTATTATTATGACTGACCATCGTGACCTGGAATGACGCATGCATGCTTTGAAGCGAGTTCTAGCTGAGCTCCTCGTTTAAATTGTGGTGTGCGTCTTGTTGTTCTTCCAAGAAGTGGAAGGACCTGTAATTTGTGTGATGTTAAAAATACACACACAAGTTGTTGACATCCGCTGGCTAATACAGATTTTTGGATATCTTGATAAAATTGATTTTCTCTTTAGTAGAGCTTGTTATGCTATGTATTTGTTGGTTTCTATAGCCGCCGCCTGAGTCTGGGTGCTACATATGTAGGAGTGCAGAGCCTGTTAGGACCATTAGTTAATCAAATTAAATATGTACCCACCAGTGCCAGTAGGTGGATTACACTCAATTCCTATTCTTGGATCCTCGTCACACGCCCAACGAATGTGAGCAACCCTTCTGTGGGATGCGGTAATCAATCCATGTTGAGCTTTGGGTCATGGCTTAGAGCGAAAGTGATTTAATGTAGAAATTAAAACATATACGTTTTAGGATTTAAGTCATTTTTTCTGCTTCTGTTTCGCAAAGATGATGTTACGTGTCGGAGCAGGTTTTGAAACAAGCGCCACGCTTTATAAATATGTCCTACTCGCGCAGTAATTTTCTGCGTTGAACTTGGTACTCGCCACGTTAGGGCCGGCTCCAATGAAAAATATCAAATTTTTATTACGACCAGCGTGTGGATATCAGAAAAATGACGCCGGTTTTTGTGAAATCGACTATAGCGGCTTTATTAATCCTTTTGTGCTGCATTCTGGTGGTAAAGAGCTGAAACTGCATATGTTAGCAGAGCGGGAGAGTGTGGGACCTTTCGAGAAAGGGAAGAAGAGCACTTGTACAGAAACAAAAAATAAAAAAGGAGCCAAAAATCGTGAGTATTAAAAGCGCGGGAAGCTTGCAGACAGAGGATGTGCTCAGCAATTGTATGAGAAGTCTTGGGTAGCCTAAAAAAAACCTGCGATTTTTTAAAAGAAAAACAATTTTTTTTTGATTTAGCATTGGGATGTATCGCGAATGTTAAGCAAACATCTGTGACATACCTAGAAATCTTCTTGATGAATACAACGCATTTTAAATTAGGCCCAAAAGGAGACTCGAGTGCATTTTGCTCAGCTTTTCCTATACAAATTCGAAAATGGTCAGTCTAGCAACTTTAGTAGAGTCATTATTGGGGACGAATCTGGGTTCTGAAAGTACGATCCAGAAACCATACAGCAGTCCATGGTATTGAGTCCAACAGGAGCACACCCACACGTAAAATCTAAGCACCATAAATCAGAAGCAAAAGTAATGATGTCAGTTTACTTCACTCAATCTAAAATCGTAGCTGCTATTCCACGGAAAGAAAGTCAGACGGTAACTTCTCAATGGCATACCGAAGAGTGTTTACCAAGTTTTCAAAAATTTGTTGAAAAACAGGCAGAAAGAGGATTTGTGGCGCTACTTTTTAAATCATGGCAATGCGCCATCCCACTCTTTGATCGAAGAAATACGCCCAGCACCATATTTCCCGGATATAGCACCTTGTCGTTTCTGATTATTTCCAAAAATAAAAAAAAAATTAAGAAGAACGACGAGGAAATAATTAATGTGGTTAATGCCGAACTTAATAAGCTTAAAAAGCAAGATTTTGAAGACTGTTTTCAGAAGTGGATCTTAATGCTTGCGAAATGCATTGCAATAAAAAAGGACAAAGATGACGAATAAATACAAAAAAAAAAAAATTTTCTGTGTTTTCTGGTCAACTTACCGAACTGTTGTTTATCCCATCGTATGTATATATGTATGTATTTTTTCTCACTATACACTCACCAGTGACTAATTTCACGCCTTGATAATTTTATTCATACCTCAGATAATATTTGCAAACGTACACATTTGTATTTACATATATATGTGTGTACATAGCATGTGTTTGTATGGTTTGTACGAATATATGTAAATAAATTCGAAAATCATTCATTAGTAGTTTAACACCTTTCTTAATGTGAGCTGCAACAAGTTTCTCTTCTTCGCGACCCATTCAGTTGCACATATGTACATACATACATATGTATGTTTGAGTGCATTTGCAGCCATTGAAAAGCCGCATGTAATTCAACCCCTCATTGGTTTTGTCCTTCTCTCATGTGACATTCATTTTGCCACAAAAACAACAACAACAATAACTCTTTATACATATGCACATATATACATATATATTAATGTGTTTATTTATACACGCAATGTACGTATGTATGTATGCACCTCTCATTGTCGACTGTGTGGCAAGAAGATGGCAGCGACAAACAGCAGCTAAATCGACTGGCAACTGCCGCAAACTGCCAATAATGACGACACTGATGCCACTGTGGATTATGCTCGCACGCCATTTGCACGAAAGACGAGACAGTTGAGCGTACACACATATATATATATATGTATAATACAATAGTATGTGTGGCTGGGCTGCAGTACACACACACACACACACATCAGTTCGCCTGCCGCATGGGCTGTCATTTGGAATGGGTTATTGAGGCAAATTACAAGCGTAACTTATGGTCAAACAAACTGTGATTGGAATTATTGCTAAGCATATGCATGGATGTGTGTACGTATACATATATGTATGTATATACGATTTGTATACACTTGCGCCGGCGCATACCACAAGCGGCAATAAGCCAATATGAAATATGTGACATATGTATATATATGTATATATGTATATATGTATGTACATACATATGTACGAAAGCACACCAACCAGCCTACGGCAAGCTCAACGTCTTGCACATATGTATGTATCTACAATCAATAAAATTATACATATGCATAGTTATTAATAAAAGATAAATATATACATACATATGTATGTGCATATGTACATATATTGATAATGTTTGTTATTGTCTAAAATAATAATTTTACTGTTGTGCCACATGTGGCAAGCAACAGCTGGCTTAGCAACAGCTTATTGCTTGTTGTACATACTTACAAACATACATATTTGTCAATTAAACAAAATACACTTGCAAACACACTCAGACATACATATACCGTGATATACATATTTCCAATATTTCCATGTGCACATAACCTCACAATTATTTTCACACTTACCGGCTTACGGTCGATGGCTGCCAAGCTAACTGTCTTAGGCAAATTTCGCCGTCGGCAAATAGAGTCTTACACTCAAATTTTGTATCGCCTCATTTCTTCAAACATTGAGACTGCAATAAGATCCCACCCCCAAAATAAAAACTCATGCATTTTTGTTGGTAGAAAATCACAGATATTTTGATCGCTTTGTTTATTTATTTAAAGCCCTTACAAGGGCTTAATAGTTGTTGTTGGAATATATTTTGGTGCTACTGATTGCTGATGCTACAAAGCAGCTGACGCTGATTTGCGTCGAAATACGCGTTCAAGGATTAGATATCCTGCTGTTATCTACTAGGCCAGCCGAAGCTCTTTGGATTTCATTCCTGGCGAAAGCTTTACATCTTTTTCCAGTTGTGCGCCATCTTGAGCGCAACTTAACTCGGCATGCTTTTAATGATTTTATTATCGGAATTGTAGGTAAACCTCATTTTCTTTAGTCATTCCCACTTCACAGCACAGTTTATATAGCATCAGTGCTCGGTTTAAGTTTTTTTTTTTCGTTTTTGCTCCCGTAAAATTCTGGTGCTCGACGCGCGTAACAATCCACAAATGTCGGTTTCGCCTGATTCGTGCTGGTTAATTTGGCATGGCTCTTAGCTGGTCCCAACTGTAAGTAAATTAACAGAGAAGAAAATTCTATAAGAAATAATGCATTTGTTGTATGATTAAAAAAATATATCGTCTAACGTTACAATCTGAATCTCATAAAAAGAAGTTTCTGTGAAAGGAAAGACCTACCACACTCGACTGTTTAGTTGACGGCTAGCGCTGTATGTAAGTCTCAACCAGTAAACAAGCTTAGGAGAGGTAAAAAGCAGCACAGTCGTAATGAAAGTACCGTTATAACCGCAAAAACATTTTCAAAATTGGTTTCGAAGAATGTTACGTCACAGTCATAGCCTTAAAACAAAAGGAAATTAGAGTCCGGTGAGTATAAAAATTTGACTGTAGTGTCAAACATGCTTTACTGAGATGAGTTCACCTCCTCAAGAATCTAGCAGTGACTAATGTGAACCTCCTTAGTGAAGACCTTCAACTTGGTGAACGCAATAAGTTATTTTGACTTACCGCGTTCCAGTAAGAGCTAAGAAAGCTTGCCCACAGAGCACCACACAAAATTCGCTGAGCCAGAAATACACCACTGCTGATTTGTCTTTAAAGACGCAAAAACATTGTACAAAGTAGTCTTTGAGGAATGCTGCGCGAGTGACAGTTCTTGGCAGAATAAAAATCTGTTTCGCTGCAGTATAAAGAGCCGACTATGGCGGGAACTTGTGAATTTTATTCGGCTCTTACCGCGGGAAAATTCGTGAAACCGACAAACACACTTTCAGAAAATAATTTTTCGGCTTCTGTTTGGAAAAATTAGCAAAAAGTGCTATCCTTTCTTAGGTTATTATATGAACAATCGAAAGTTTGTTCCTCTGGTTGTTTGTCAAAAAGTTATGACACGCATTCCGTGTAGTAGAGCATGGTAGATCGAAGCAAATCCCCAGCGAACTCACTTCATTTCGCCAAATTGTTTCTAATTCTTTATTAGCTGAACATGAGATGAAAAGTTCCAGCTGCCATATGAGTCCCTATAGCGCATTCCTATCTAGCGAACTTAACTTTATCAACCCTTTAAGATCATCTAGACACTTTAGACGAATTTCATTGTGTTCATGCAAAACCACCGTTGAAATGCACCACCCTTTTACATGCTTGCGTAAGGATTTTAGACTCCTTCCGCCAGCATCAATTCCTGGCACTCTTTTGCTTCTGTAACAAATACCACTCACTGAGAACTTTAAATAAATAAGTCATTTCCATCTTCCTTTTTCCATATAAATTATAGCAGCTGATAAGAAAATTAGCTGTTTCGTGTGAAGGACAAATTTTACTGTCATCTTTCGCAATCGGTTTCAGATTCAGGGCAGTCCCCGCTGTTATCGGTCGGCGATCTGTGTGATTTTTCGATTATTTTTCCGGTGCGCCTCTCGCTTGGTTAGGAGGATAACGCTGGATTTATCATATGAATCCTAGGCAATTGAGGCCCCTCACGATATGTAAAGAGGGTGTTATTTTACATGTGCACTAAAACTGACTAATCTAAAACCGCTCCCTCTTTGATCTGAATCCGATAAACAGCTCGTTCGTTTCTTGGATCTCCCGTTCGATGACCACGATGATTGCTTCCGAATCGTAAAAAGAACAACAACAACATCAAGAAGTCAGGGTTTACACTTAAAGTCAAGCGAGCTACACTTGAAGCTCATAAAAAATACTGAACTGATCTGATTAAGGCCGTCGATCAAGATCAAGAATAATCTTAATGAAAATGTAGCAGCATGGGTTTGAGTTATCTATAAATAGTCGTAAAATTTTATAAGTACTAACTCGAAATTCCGATACTTAGTGAGTTTTTCTGTTCAAATTTTAAATCCTAGTCACAAAGCCTTTAAAGCCTACCCAACTTATTTAAATTCTCTATCGATTCGAGATACAATTTTCATGGATGTTTTGCACTCACCTTGTGTTTTGTCGGCGGACTGCATAATTATTGCATTTGTCTCGGTCATGGAGTTGAAAGAGTTGAGTTTCCTTTGCGTAATCCTCGTCTCACTCGTCAACATTCTTGTCACTGTTAATATGAATTCTTCTTATTTTTTTTTTAATTCGATTTGTCCGCTCTTCTACAGCTGCTGCTGCTGCGTTCCCACTGCTCGTACAACAATACTACTACGTAAAAGAACCCTTCGTTCCGTGTCGTGCACGGCGGGTCCTTCCGCTTTTAGCAAGATGCACAGCTTGGCAAAAATTTCGTTCGCTCACACTTTAGCCCGGTCAATGCTCCCTTGGTTGGACTCGTTTCCGTACATTTTCTGCATATAACTCATGCTTGCTTGTCTCCTCTATCCACTCTCGGCCTCTCTCTTTCCTCAGCGCTGTTTATTCAAACAAACTGTGTCTTTGAAGAAACGCATTGTCTTCCTTGGAGTCTTTGTTATCTCACCCTACACCACACTTCATCTGTTTGACGTTTGACGTAGTACTGTGGAAAGTCACACACCAATTTTTTTTTTGTATATATTTTTTTTAAATTTTTATTTCATTTATTTAAATTTTTTTTTATTATTTTTTTTCGTTTTTTTTTTCTTTTTCCCATAATTTGTATTTTTATCCGACTTCCGCATCACACAAAGCCCTTTTTTAGCGGAGTGCGGCTTGTGAAAAGCATTCGGACATGACGCGTCCGCAGCGCGCGACACTCGTACACAAAAAAGCCCAACACCCAGGGCGTCAGGTGGCAAACAAAAAATTTTTGAAATCTGTTTCTCTCTCGCGAGACGAAAAACATAAAAGCTGAGATTTAAGCAGTTTTCTCTTTTTTTATGCAAAATTGACGTAAAGCAGCAAGCGAATTGGAGGTGGTGAGATTTTCGGGCGAATCGATTTTATGACTTAGTGATGATGTCATAGCAGATGCTTGAGAGCGCGTATTTGGCGTATTGGTATTACTGGAACTGCCCAGCGAATCAAACATGGAGGAGAGCGCATTTAGCGAATCACTCGGATATTTCTTTTCACCATCGTACGATTTAATACTGGATGCCGGTGATTTCGGTGTAACGGAACGATGACTATCGGTGGGACTGCGTGGTGCTAGCGTTTTATTCATGACAGGACTCACCGGTCCAGCTGATTTGGGTGGTGTAACACTGCGTTCTTTGCTGTTGTTGTTATTATTATTATTGTTATTGTTGGTTAGAGAAAAGTCAGCGCCATTAGCGACATGCTGCATTGCAGTGATCTCATTGCCGGCGCCATTTTCCGGACTCTCATTACCACGTTCGTCCTCCTCAACTTCAGACTTGATCTCCATTTTGATTTGTGGTGCTTGTTCCATCACTACGTCGGCTTGTGCTGACTGTTGTTTGTATGACTCGAGCTCGCGTTTAAGTTCATTGGATTTTTGTTCCATGCAGTTCAACATTTCTACTGATGGCTGCTGTTGTTGCTGTTGCTTTTCTGGCGTGGGAATGTCCATTTTCCTTGCCTCGACATGTGTCTCAGCACTACACTCGCTGCCACTACGTTCACTGCTTGTGTAACGGTAATGCTGATAGTACGGATCCGATGTGTCAATTAAAGGCTTGTTGTAGTCGACAGTTTCGTCGATTCCCAGACGCTTCAGTATGCTCGAAGCGACCGGTGATGTGTTCTTAGTTGAGGAATTAGATGGACTAGTGGCCGGCAAGCTCGCGTGACGCGGTGGCGTATCAAAACTGGTAGTGAACATCTGCTCAATAGCACTGAGTACTGACGAGGAGCCCGTTGTGGATTTAGTTGCGCCATTTTTTGGCTCCAACTCAGGTGACTTAGTTTTGTTCATTAAACCGCTTGCGTTGAGCCCGGCCTTGGCTGCTTCATCGTCAGTCACTTTTACACCCGTTATATATTGACGCATGCGTTCGGCAAAGAGTGCGGCATCAGACTTATCGTTACCCGGTCCGATACCAGTGCCTTCTAGTGGCATGCGTTTGGCATTTTCATAGGTGCGTTGCATCTTGGCTTCCATGCTTTCAGCGGCCTCATTCTGGGCACCTTTCATTTCAAGCAACTTGCGCACCGGTAGGGATTTCTCGCGTTTTTTGGGTGCCGGTCGCTTGCGGCTACCAGCACCACCGGCCATAGACTGCATGAGCGGCTCGGCGTAATGATTATTCTTAGCCATATGATTACTGAGATCGCCCAAGGAATTAAATGCCTTATCACACACTTTACACGTTAGCACAGCGCTTAGTGTACGGCTTTCTTCCGAGCTCAGACTGTTGTGACCATCTTTGGCATCACCGCCACCGGAGGATTTCATTGAGATCGTTTGTTCTTGTGACAAAATGTTTGTGTAATGCTGGGTCTCCTGCATGTGCTTGGTCATCTCGCCGAGCGAACGGAAACTTTCGCCACAACGCATGCACTTCAATATCTGCATAGCTTGCTCGACGCCCTTACCCAGCCATACATTCTGGCCGCGCACCAATTTACGCGGCAATGGGGTGGGCGGATCGCCGCGATACTGGAATGCGTTCTTGGCTGCTGCGGAGGGTGTGGAAGACGAATTATTTTGTGCGCCACCACCACTGCCGACTTGCTTTCGTAGGTTGTGCGAGTGTTGTGAGCCACTGTTCGCCTGCGGTGGCGGTGGTTGGTGATGGCGATCGGTGTTGGGCAAGTTGCCGAATGGCGGTACATTCACGCCACAGTGTTTGCTGTCCTTCATGTGCGTAGTGAGCGCTTCCAACGTGGAGAAACTCTGTTTACACCAAACGCAACGAAAAACTGAGCTGGCCACACCTTTGTTCTGCCAATGTGACTGCCAGATGTTGTGACGCGCCTTGGACATGCCCTCGGTGGAGGCGGTTAGCGTAGTGGCTGTATTTGGCGTGTTAGCAGCAGCAGCAGAAGTTGGTGGTTGTGCACCAGCAGTCGGTGTGGTGGGTGTACTGCTCGCTGAGGAACGTGAAGACTTCTCCTTACGCGGGCCCTTTACAATATCGGACATTTTCTCTAACGGATCGACAACCAAATCATTCTTGCCATTCCAATCGGGAAACTGCCCGGTACGGAAAATATTTGCTGCGGCAACAGCTGCCAAATACGGATTGACGGCCGGTAAGAGTGGTGCTGAAGGCACCGTCGGTGGTGGTGCCACCAAGGGTGGGCTATCGGTTTTGAATATTTTCTTCACTTGTATTTGCCCGATCGTCGAGTCCGGTTCGTTATTGCCATCTGCTGAACGCTTACGCGTGCCAACCGATAAATCAAGCGGATTATTAGCGTCATTAGCTTCCTCATCGTCGTCCTCCTCCTCGGAAGGTGCTGGATCCGTTGAGGCGGCACGTCCAAAGAGATTTGTGCGAAAGTCTAAAGCCTCTGAATTATTGCTTGAAGCGGTGGGTGATGCTTGTGGTGGTAGTTTGAATGGTGCGGCGGCATCTGCAGGCAATGGTAGCTGAAAACGTGGACCTGCTGCGCCACCTAACGGAAATCCATATTGTTGTGCAGCGGCGGCCACCATTTGCAGATATGCCTCCATCGATGGTGGCTGTGCGGGTAAATTCTGAGGTACAGCTGGGAATGTAGCAGTCATTGAGGATGGCAGGGGCAACATGCCAGCACTGGCGGCGGCAGCTGCAGCTGCAGCAGCATTAGCCGCCACGGCATTGGCATTTTCTCGACAATCGCGGCCATTCTCTGAGGAATTGGAATCGTGCGATGGACAGCGCTCGCTTGAGTTGGCCGATTCTGTGGAGCGAGGCCGTGCTGTCGGTAGGGCGCTGTAAAGAGAAGAGATTTTTTGATAAGTAAAAAGTTTTTCTTATAGATTTTTGTCACATGTTAGTCAGCAAAAGGGTTAATTGTGCTTCAGTGAGCATTATGTCATATCCCTTCTTCTCGAGTATTAGAATAACATCGAAAAATCCAGTTGAGTAAGGGATATTCCTTCTATAAGAGTGTTTAGTTGCAGGGTTGCCATCAATTTGCGGAATTGTTATAAGTGTTTAAAAAAAAAAGACTATTGATTGAGGTACATATCTATGTAATATTGGTTGTATTTTTAATTTTTTTTCTCAAAAGCTTTTCTACATTCATTTTCATATACTGTAATGTTTCAAAAATGGTTCCCATACCATACTTACTTCATTTTCCCCCAAAATCGTTCATTGTTTCGAAAAGAAATTGCTGAAAATTTTATATTTTTAAAGTCACTTCATAAGTTCGAAGTCTGGGGATTGCCTTGAACGTTGTATACAGAAGACATGGGAATTTACAAACAAACAGCGCATATTCTCTTCTGCATATGGCTTTATTCTCCTATACTCAACAGCGGTTTTTGTTTTAGTCACGAAGTGAAGATCTAACAACATTTACGGAAATGATATCAAAAGAGACATAAAGTAAAGAACTTGACCAAAGCCTGTTGAACATGAGAGCGAAAAAATACGATTAACTGTTCACATTTTTTTATATAGTTTGATTTTAGTCTATAATATTTTATTTAGTTTAATTCTTTTTTATTTTATGTACAACTCTGCTTCTGCCGTTTTCCGATAGGTGGCTGTACCGGCTGAGGCTGGTTGAAATACATAGATGATAATGACTTGTAAAGTGAGTGTGGACAGTGCCTAACGAATTGTCATCGCCGTTTCAGTGACAGTTTTTCTTGTTTTCTTATTATTCACGCTCGAAAATGTCCGTTTGTGTGCCTAATTCTCGCCATTAGCGGGAAGTTTTACTTTTATGTTACAAACGTATCGGGAGTGGTTTCAACGTTTTAAAAATGGTGATTTCGATGCCGAAGAGAAACATGGTGGTTATGATTTATATTTGGTGAGATCAGCTCGGTGTGATTTGCTACGAGCTCTTAAAACCGGGTGAAACCATCACAGGAGATCGCTACCGAACGCAACTGATGCGCCTTAGTCGCGCGCTAAAAGAAAAGCGGCCACAATATCAAGAGCGACATGACAAAGTCATCCTCCAACACGACAACGCTCGGCCTCACGTTGCAAAAGTCGTCAAAAAGTACCTGGAAACGCTGAAATGGGAAGNTATTTTATTTTATTTTATTTTATTTTATTTTATTTTATTTTATTTTATTTTATTTTATTTTATTTTATTTTATTTTATTTTATTTTATTTTATTTTATTTTATTTTATTTTATTTTATTTTATTTTATTTTATTTTATTTTATTTTATTTTATTTTATTTTATTTTATTTTATTTTATTTTATTTTATTTTATTTTTATTTATTTTATTTTATTTTATTTTATTTTATTTTATTTTATTTTATGTCATTTCTTTTCATTTTATTTTAGTTTAATTTTTGTGTACCCTATATTATTTTCTTAACTTTCTTTTCTCTATTTTTTACGTAAGAACGTCATCAAAACTCGATATTTCATATGGCATAAGGAATTAATCAAAAATCTGTATGTATTTTATAAAAAAATTATTAAACGTTACAAATGTTGGAAATCAACATAAAAAGCTTTGTATTTTTTTGTATAGATGAAATAGTTCACATTGAAATACAGAAATGTTCATTCGTTCGAGAACACTCAATCGAATCGTTTTATTTTTTCCAATAACGACTAATCACTTAACCAATCAGTGCCTGCGTTCGAGAAGCATTTAAATCCAGTGTAATCATTCGCTTTGGCTTACGATATGTTCAGACAGAAATCAATTTTGTTGATTTCAACAGCGTTTTATTGAAATTTATTAACCGACTGTCAAAGTTTCTCGCTTTCACGAGTAAACAAATCAAAGCGCCACAAATCATATTAAACAGATATAAATAAACATATACATGTGCATACACATATGTACATATGTATGTATATATGTATATACATATTTGTAGGTATATGTATATGATGTGTATGATCACTGGACTTCAAGCATTGTAGGCGTGGAGGTGACTGACTATAAGCACAGTGGATGAGCGACTACGCCACATTAGAAATCCGTGAAAATGATAACAAACGGCAAAACGTACAAACAAAACTATCAGCGGTTGTTAGCGCAAGCTAGTATTATATAATCAACTGTTGTAGCGTGAAATTACCAAAAATATAATGAAATCAATGGTGTTGATATATACATATTGTACATATTTACATATCAGTTTATATGCCATTTGTACAGAGCATTGTACTCTTTGCTGCTTGATTTCAATGCACAAATGTGTGTACATACGTAAAGCTATAAAAGACCTATATATATATATATATATATATATGTATTTATGTAATACATCAACTTGATGCACATAAGCCAACTAAACTAAATAATGTATCCGTATACATCAGCACATATACATACATACATAACAGATTATGCTAGATATCTACATACATACATATGCATACAAACAGCTGATTGCCTTGTTTCGCTTGCACTGAAGAATGGCCCCGATATTTACAAAGGTGGCTGTTGTATGGCTGCTTTCATACCGCTTCTCAACGCCACCCGCTCAAACACTCCGCTACCAACCGAGCACACAGCGACGAAGCCAACGACGCAACAGCCAACCAACGAATCAACCAACCAACCAACGAACCTAAGCATCCGGTGAAACATTCACTCGCTACATTTCAACGTCTCAAATGTCTTTCACTCGTTGAAACAACAATTATCCAAATATTGCCGATGTCATAAATTTTTTTACATATACATGCATATACATATACAAATATGTTAATATGTATGTAGCTACATAAAGAGCATGTCAATTTGAACTCGATCAAATCGATGAATTCGAATAGCTTTGTTGTGTGTAAATTTGTACGCATCACAGCTGGCTTTTTCTCGCTTCTTAAATGTTTTGCATAAATTATGAAAAGATATAAAGTTCATGTATACATATGTATGTATGTATGTATGTATATGTGTATGCTTGAACTGTTTGTATTAAAAGAAATGAAGAAGATTGAAAGGCATTTATGTTGGATATAAATATGTGCATATATACATATATACAAATGTATATACATATACATAATAAGTATAGTAGTATTTAGTGCCAATGAGATTTTATTGTATTTAATATACAAAGCTTTGCTATTTATTGATTATTTCTTATTTATGTTGCCTTATTTTAAACGATCTTTTTAATGAAATGGATATTAGTTATTGAGATAAAAAGTGGTTTAAATATATTCACTGATTTAAAAAAAAAAAGAAAATTGATTAACAAATATTACTTTCACTAAAAAATTAAAAAAAAATATACATTTTAATTTAAAGCTTATTGTAGAGCTAACTCAGCTCTTTCTGCAAAGTTTCGCAGACCTTTCAACTTTTTTATTGCCAACAAAGTGTTTTTAAAGCTAGTAAAGATTTTTTTTGCAAAACATACCAATACATTTTTTTATACGAAAATTCTAGACCGTAAAGTGGTGATTGATTACTTTGAGTTTCAACACCAAAAACCGCAAAAACATCAAACTCATAATGTTATTATTGAAATCCGATTTTACTTGTTATGGTTACGATAAATAGACAAAATGACAAAAATTAGTTTATTAACACATTGAGTAATGTGTATGGTAGTTCATATTACGGTAACTTCGTTTCATTGTCCTAGTGTTTTTTTTTTTTGTTCCATTATATCTACTTGTCTTTTTCACTTTGAAAAGATGGTAAATATTTAGATGATATTTAGATGATTGAGATATTCTTATTTCGGGCTACACTAATACGATTTTGCGAAACTAACGCGAATTTAAAAACAGACGTTTCAGGTAATATTTTTTTGTTAAACTGTTCTGAAAATCTTCATTCGTACAAGAAGTAAATTGGATATGAAAATGAGTTAACAAGATCCAGAAGTGGTTTCCTAGATGCTGTTTCTGAGATTTTGATATCAAAAATACACCTCAGTCACTCAAAGAGCTGACGAAATGCTGTTACTAATAGTGCAAGAGCGGTACGCAAGCTGTCAGGAGATAGCGCAGGCATTTGGAATTACTCACGTGATAGCTTGGACAGTTCAAAAAAGACCAGCCATTCAAAAAAACTGGGAGTATTGGCACCATATAAATCAACGGAAAAGAATTGATCGACCGCATTAAGTTCGGTAAAATTCGAACCATTTCTGAAGCGATGAGTTAAAAACTAGAATATGAAATAAGAGAAGGAAAATTAAGGGACAGTAACACTCCGCAAATGACTTCGAAGCTTAAATTGACGACAAATAAGCTGATGGGTTTGGTGGAATTTGAAGGGAATCGTCCATTATGAGCTTCTAAAACCAGATTCTGTGTTCTAAAGTCAACAATTGAGCAGTTTACAACAAAATCCTCCAAAAAACATACAGAATTGGTTAAAAGAAAAGCTTTTGTGTTTTATTACCACAACACCAGAGCACCTACGCGTACATACATCTTTGATGATCAGTCATAAATTGACGAAATGTGAATAGGAAGCTTTGATTCACCCAGCAGTTATTCCGAACCTTGCAATATCTGGCCACTATTTTTTCAACTCATAACTCTCGTGATGGTGAAAAATTGACCGACTAGACTGAAATATTCAATAGTGAAAAAAAACTTCAAAATACCAATAATTTTAAGAGTATGAATCATAAGTTTACAAAAATTAAAAATTTTTATTAGGTGTAGTACATTATTTTTACAATAGATGCCGTAATTTATCTGTACTTCGTGTTGCAAAAGTCTTGGTACCACAACGAGAAAACTTTATTTAAAACTAATTAGAAGTGGAATTGCCCACTTTGGCGACAGTTTTGAACTAATATGGATTTTTTT